GGCCAAATACTGCCCCCAGCTGTACTCAACTTGGTACTGCACCATGGTTTTTATATTTAATCTCAATAGTTCAGTGTTTACAATACTGTTGTAATATTATGCAGTTTAGTGTCAATAATTGTATTGGCAATGTGGCCTCTTTCTGCACACATACAAACCAACCCCTGCCACCACCTTCTGCCACAGCTCCATTGGTCTAATGGTCTATGTCATGGACTTTCATGTGGGGGATCAGGGTTCAAAGCCCTGCTAATGCAACTTTAAGAAAAAATCTCTTCAAACTTCATATTGTCACACAATTACCTTAATTHYRAACACCTGCTGACGTGACAGGCACAAGCTGGTATAGAAAACACATTTGAACTTGGCCAAAGTTCATTCTGCAAGTCCAAAGCTGCAGGCAAAGCCATGCTGCAATGACACGCTACATGGCAATGCACACTTGTTTTTACATCGTAAAAACCCATGTCTAGTTTTATTTGTTTTAAATATTGTAAATATTTAATATGATTTGTTTTAGTGAAAAATTATCTAATTCAAACTGAGGTCACACAATAGATTTAAAGCTTATGTGTCTAACAAAGCAGAACATTAACAAGTGTGTTTAGTTTTAGTTTAAAGATCAAATCCAACTGTGATGTTTCTTTCAGGAAACGTTGGCATCTCTTTCCCCCGGACAATACAGCCAACCTTTACCCGACCAGGATCCCGTACGAGGAGTCCAGTATCTTCAGCCAGGTGGATGTTCTCCACCCAGACCTGAAGAGATTCCCTGGGTTTAAAGGTGCCAAGGCCCACGTCGTCACTCTGCAGCCCGGGCAGGTCAGACCCGGATGTAAACTGTGTCGCAGCTTAAAGAACAAACTAGACCCAGGATTGAAAAAAAATTTTCAGAAAAGTTTAGATTTTGGATTAAAATCTTTCTAAAGTTAGTTTTGGTGGTCAATAAAACCCCCTAAATAATATCGGTTGCTAGGGCTGCCACAAACGATTATTTTTATAATCGATTAATCACAGATTATTTTTTCGATTAGTCGACTAATCAGATCATATGTTTATTGAATATAAAACATACAGCTTATTGCGCCAGACTGCAGCTGCTATTATATAACCATGGTTAGATTTTAGCTATATGCTAACTAAAAATAATTGCTGTGGAAG